CTCCACTCAGAATCGTTTTTATATTTTATATAAAATGATTTTATTCCATTAAATTAAAATTAACCACATTCATTACAGTAATTCTCCAAACACCTAATGTACAGAGTGTTACCCACTTAACCGCTTTTTTATTTTTATTTTTTAGTATTGAAAATAAAAATTTTAAATCTGATTTCATTTTTTTTTGAGAATTTCATCATAACTTATTTGTAAACCTTGTTTTTAGAAGACTTAACTATAATGTTGACCTAAGACAAGATGTTTACTATTAGTTTTTTTTAAATGTTAAATTTCTTTGAAAGAACTCATTAATTTGAAAAGTATTAACTTTTTCAAAAAATATTTAAATTTCAACAAATGACTGTTTAAAAATGCTTATACAAGAGTTTATACTTTTTGAATTTAAAATGTTTTTTAATAAGATATTAAGATTTACTTTATTAAACAAAAATAATGAGCTTTCAAAATTGTAAAAATAAGCTTCAAGACTTAAAAAATGATTTTACAATCAAAATTTGTCTAAAAACCAGATTAACAAATTGACATTTTTGAACTTGTCAAAACAAATTTAAATCAAATTTAAAATTTTTTATTTTCAGGGTACTAAAAAACAAAACTTCTATTGTTATGCTAGGGTTTGTAAATTATATAAAACAAATTCAAAAGTATCTAAATATTTTTGAACTAAAGTTATTTCATTGGTCAGGTCTTCCTGTTACACCTTGTATACATTTCATTTTATATGGTAGCTGGTAAGAGAAGGGACCAAAAGTACCAGAGAGGAAATTAAATTAGAGAGTTATAATAGAGTAGTTTAGAATTTGGATGGCAATTAACAAATGTTTGGAAAATACATTAAATATACCTAACTAAAATAAAATAATATTCCGACAGGAAAACATTACATTTAGGTAATTTCTTATTCGACTTCATTAAAATAGTATTGAAATTGAATGATTATGGCCTAAAAAAAGTCTTACAAATCTATTTATAAGTCTCAACACATTTTTAAAATTACTAAATAAACATGTCATATCTACTGATGTAATCGGTGCATATTATGACTGCACATTTCGTACGCTTAAAATATAAAAGCGATGAATTCAAATTTATAGAAGGGTATCTGCCAATTATTACATTATTATTCAGAGCTGGCCTATAGGTATTTTGCTCCCGATGCGATTTAAAAATCTTCCATAATATCAAAGGTTAAAATGCCACGAATATCCACTTAAAAGGCACTTCCGTGGCCTGTCTTTGGAAATTAATGTCCAAATTATTGTTTCTTGTAACTCTAGTACAGGAGAACAGAAAGCATTTTATTCTTAACCGTATTGCTATTTATCCATTTAAGAGTCTTAATTATTTTATTACCAAATACCAATTCGAACACTTTAAAAATATTTAGATCAATTATAAAATTATATGTATAAGTATAATTATCTATAGCCATGACTTTAGACAAGGATAATAATATTATAGTCTATACACAGTCTAGAAGTGTCTAAATCGAGCATTCTCGATGGAAAGCTAAAAGGCTCCTCAACTTTACATTTACTAAATTAACCTCATAAAACGAAAACCAACAGTTTTAAGGTTATTAAATTGTTTATAATTTAATATTTTCATTTATCAACTTATCAGTTATCACTGTTTTTTTAAAGATAACACCATAATATAAGGTTTTACTATGTAAGTCTCGTCCGTGAAGAACTTAACAAAATTCAACATATTTAAGTGTTTACGATTTAATTTTTTAATAGAATATTATTAATGGAAATATTTATTATATAATTAAATGTATATATATTTTTAATACTAATATTTACTGCCTACTTAGTATCTGTTTTGACGAATATTAAAAAAATGAGGACAATTCGAAATATAACAATGTTTAAAAACGTCTACAGAAGAATGCATTCGACAAAGCAAGTGAAATGGGATATCATGGCTGGTTTATGCTTACAACGTAAACCAATTATAACTAAATCGTTAACTGATACAGAGGTAAATTTTCAAAATATTTTACAAGAAATTGAATTCGAAAAGAGTCTGAAATCAGATCATGAGCTTAGACATGAAAAAGATGTTAAGAGAATGGAAAAATTAAAAAATGGAAAGGTAATTGATTTCGATGATATGGATCAAGCATCAAATCAATCGGCACAAGACTACATAGATAAGAACAAGGAGGAACTTTTAAATTTTAAATTTGCTAGTCGTTCAACTGAGGCAGACTTAATAAATGATACTAAATCATTAAAAAGAAAATTGGATGACAATTTGGTTTTAATTGTTAAACAAAAATTGGGACATGAAGACTTTTGGGTCTTACCACAAGGTTTGTGGAATAATGGAGAAACATTAAGAGAAACATCAGAAAGAATCTTAAGAGAATCATGTGGAAATAATCTTAATGTTAGCTTTTATGGCAATGCTCCATGTGGGTTTTACAAGTATAAATATCCAAAACAAATACGAGAACAATCTAATGTAGAAGGGGCAAAAATATTTTTTTTCAAAGCAAAACTTTTGGATGGAAATGTAGAAGAAAAGGGCATATGGACAGATTATGAATGGTCAACAGTTCAGGAACTCAATAAGAGACTTATTCAACCATACATGAAAAACATTAAATTATTTTTGTCAAATTATAATGTAAACACATAAATGATAGATGACTTGTATACACTTATACCTTTGTTAGCTTTATTGATAATATTTTTCAGCAAAATAGAACAGTTTTCAAAATTTGGTTGTTTATAGCTGTTACCTAATTTTTGCTTCTTTTTGTCTTCATTCTCAACATCCTGACAAATAAAACATAATAATTATATGAGTTTTATTGTTTATTAATAATAGTGTAAAATATTATTTTTCTATTTACTAACAAGAATTATACTTCTGTGATAACAATTTAGAAGAGAAATCCATGTTATGGGATAACGATTATCATCAATACATTGGGATTGATTTAACTGTGGTAGACTGCTGTTATAATTCAAAACTTCAATGACTTCATCATTATCCAATAGTTGTTGAATTTCTTGTCGTTTTATCTATAAATTAATTTTTTATAAGGTATTAAAAGGCTATTAAGAAAATACTAATAAAACCGAGAGTAAAACTATGGGGTTGAACGTGAGTTAATAGCATGGTGTCATGAAAATAGGATACTTAATAATAGATAAGTAACTTATAGAATTAATTAGTTGACATTTTATCATCCCTAAAATACAAAGTTGACATATATTACATAAAGATCAGAAATATTTAAATATTATTCAGTAATGCGCCTATATTAAATTTTATACAGTAGCAATAAAGTACTATATTATAAATCACAATATGCAAAAAATATTGTTTAGAAATAGATCAAAAAAAATTAGTAGGAGGGGTCAAAGAGATTCTTTTTCTACAAAGGAGTCTTTCTACATGACTACATCTAAAACTAATAAGAACATACACTTTAAAATAACTCCAAAAATAAAAAATATTAGTTAAGTTTTTTTATTATTTGATTTTGTATTATTAAAATGTATATTAGTAATGCTAATTTAGTTTTATTAAGATGTTATAATTATAATTATAATTATATATTTAAATGTTTATTTAACCATTTTTAAATTGATTGATTTGCATTGTATATTATTATTACTTTCTTAACTTTATATTTTTAGTCTGGGTAGAACTGTCCCGTTTGGGGTGGAAATGTCATAGATTCAAATGTTACATTCTTGTTAAATCTGACTTAAAATAGTAGTATCTATTAAAAACATTTATTCCTTTTTGAAAATGAATCTTTATGTTCTTCCGCGTAGATATCTTCACAATATTCAAAAATAAGATAACTGATTGACTTATTAGTTTGTGTTTGGTTTTTTATATGATATGAGGTATAACTGTGATCGAAGTATAATTAAGTTAAAAACGGTTCAATATATATATGGAGGTTGAGCTCCTGTTATTTGTTGCCTCATAATTAGAAAAACAATTTACAAGGTTAATCTAGGTAGTCATGGTAGAAATATAAAATGCTGAAGTCTAGGTTTTGAAAAATAATACATTAGTTAAAATGTATAATTATTATATTATAGATGGATCGCTTATTGTTTAACCATGCATCAAATTAAATGGTTGTACCCTATAAAAATACTCATTATACCTCCATTTATTTTATACAAGCATTTATAATAATAAGTTATAAGTCAATACCTTTCTTTCTGTGATTTTATGCGAGTCTAAACTTTGCAAGCAATTATTTAAATCGTTGTTTAGATTACGTTTTTTATTATTATCCATTTTAGTAGAAAATAATGATTGAATTACGATTACGAATTATAACACAAAAACGAAAAAATAATCCAAAGAAAACATAGAAACAAAATACGAATATAAAACGGCATTATAATTTATAATCGGTACATGGTCTGTTCGTAATATGCGGAATAAGGGTTCTTTAAAACTAACAAGAAATCAAATATATTAAAACAAACAAACGACAAAGAATTTTCGAGTATTCTTTGAAGTATGAGAATTGAGAAGTAAAAATGTAAAATATATAAGATATCAGTGAACCAGTTATCAAAATTTAATTCTGGCGGCAGTTTACTTTTTAAATAGGTTCAAAAGCACAATGAACATATCTGAGCAAATAGAACAATATAATGTGGTTCTGTGATAATATCTAAGAGTTTTTCTCTCATGATAAAATCTATCCATGAAGCAGAAGCATAATGTATCGGGGCTTCTCACATACAATATATTGGTGATCGGAGCAGATTTCAGAACTAAAATTCACGAAAATCCATGTGCTAAGACTTCGAAAAATAAATAAATTAAATGAATAAAAATAAATTAAATAAATAAGACCGTGGTCCGTGATAGAATCATACTCCAAACGAGAGCGCATAAAAAATATTGTCCAATCAAATTTTTGAATTCGCCACACATGAATATTTAAATACATTGATAAAACTATTGTGTAGGTATCATGTCTACCCTAGGAGCTTGGGCCTAGGTTAGGTTATATTCTAATATCTACCTGGCTATCTTTTTTATGTAAAATTAAAAAACAACTAGTTTGTTAAAAATTTTATCATCAAAATATAATATAATCTTAAATAATTCATGTCATTTTTGCTTATCCATAGACCACGGACGAAGAATATTCTATCCGTGCTGTAGACAGTTTATTTACTTTTCTGAGATCGTAATTATTAACTATTATGTTTTACTGATTAGAATTTTCATTAATTCATATTATAATATTCGAATTTTTAAAATTTTAAATAAAATAAATATGGTTAGCATTGATTATAGACCCAAGTTGTCTGGTTTATAGTTGATTATTGGACCTTGGACTTTAGCTTGAACATTGATTAATTACAATTTTGGTGTAAATAAAATCCTGTTATTGAAGAAGGATTATATTATTTGTTACCTATTTTCAATAAAATAAAATGGACTCAAATGACAATAAAGGTATGATTTTTAAAAAAAATGTATGTTAAAATATTGTTTAAGTTGATTTTTAACTGTATTTTTAATGTATCAAACCAGGAGATAATGCAAATGTAGAGACTAAAATGACTAAAAAAGAAGAAGGCACTGAAGGTGTTGACGAAAATGGAGTAAAATATATTATATATGAAGAAAATAGTGTGGAAATCAATGAAAATGCTGAAGTAAATATTACATTTTAAATATTATTTTTAAATTGATTCAGATTACAAATCTTTCATTAATAGGTACTTAAATGTTTTTTGAGTCCATTACTTAAATTTTTATGTTATTTTTCAGGAGTTAGATTTAAATCATCAAAGACTGGATAAACTTGAAAACTTTGAAAATATGATAAACCTTCGCTCTTTATGTCTTCGTTGGAACCATATAAAGACAATTGAAAATATTCAAATGCTTGTTTCTCTTAATGAACTTGATTTGTATGATAACCAAATAACTAAAATTGAAAATCTGTCCAGTCTTATTAACTTAAAGTAATATGATTTAATTATACATTGTTTATACCATAGACCAAGGCTGCCCAATTTATTTTGGAAGCTGGCTATAATTTCAATTACAGTTAGCTGGCGGGCCATCTTACGAACAAGACTTTCTTACACTTATGATTCATCTTTGGTTCTATATTCTACTCATAAATACTTAAATAAATAGGTAAAAAAAAACATCAATGATACCGATGAAGGGACTTATTAGCTAATAATTTTTCAATATCTGGTGGTGATGAATCTGGTGTTAATGATAACATCAAATCTGAAATATGAGGCACAGTTAACAAACTGCAATATTTATTTTTTACATAGGTTAGAGTAGAAAAAGCTTTTTCGCAAATATATATTGATCCAAATCTGCAAGGGAAGATCACACATTGCAGGGGAGTCTTCTTTTGGTACAAACTTCCAAAATTGTATTACATTTTCTGAAGATGCTTCAGTGGTTGTGATTATACATTTCGAAAAATATCTGCTTCAAGGAAATGTGGTTTTCTGTGATTTTCAGTTGGATATTGGATGAATTTAATGAAACAATAATAATTATTTAAAATTCAAAAGAATGTTGACGGGCCCCTTTGTAGCCCATGGGCCTGGGTTTGGGCAGCCTTGCCATAGACTAAGATGGAATAATCTGTGGTATATGTACCTAATTCTAATATAAATGTATATTTCATAATTTTAGAGTGCTTGATTTATCATTCAACCGTATAAAAGAAATTGAAGGTCTTGAACATTTGATCAATTTAGAAAAATTGTATTTATCCAGTAATCGAATAACTAAAATTACAAATGTTAATCATTTGTTAAATCTACAAATGCTGGAATTGGGAGACAATAAAATTAAGGTATGAATGATTTAAAAAAAATTAATTTTTGTTATAAATATTGCTTTTAATTATTATCATTTAATGTAATTTGCTTGGTATGCTTTGTAGTTCCTATTTATTTGGTAATCATTGTGCTGTAGTTATATCACAATAATATTATCTTGTAAATCACGAGCTAACATGATCTTTAACAATTTTACTTCAAGATATTAACTAACATAATCAAATTCTGTATTTACATGCCTTATATTATGTTATAAACAGGATTTAGGACTTAATGTTTTTGATATATGTTTTGGCTTAATATCAAATAAGAAATTTGAAAGTGTTTGTTTTTAAGTATTTTAGTGGTTTTTACTAGTTTTTCTTCTTTTATTTTAATTTTTATATTTAATACATTGATACAATGCTAATAGTAGCTACTGACAAGATGATTTGGTTTTGTACTTAGAAAAATGCATTCAGCATAGACACATAGTATTAGGTGTATAATACTTGAGAAAAATGGAAGTTTTCGAGGAGAGATTTTGTTTTGAGATGTTATCATTTTTAAGATTTTAGGTGCTTTAAGTTGAAAACCTTGGTTAATACTTTATTAGTTATATTTTATACAATACTTTTACTTTAGAGCCATTTTAATGTAATAATGATTAGGTTTTAAATTGTTTTTACTTATTTCTATTCTTCTCTTTTGATACTTTGTTCTAATTTGTTTAAATTGATATAATTTACAGACAATTGAAAATATTGAATGTCTCACTGGGCTTACAGAATTATACTTTGGAAAAAATAAAATTGATAAAATACAACATTTAGACACATTGGTTAACTTAAAAATATTAAGCTTACAAAATAATAGTTTAACCAAAATTGAAAATCTTAACAAATTGATTTCACTGGATGAATTGTATCTATCTGAAAATGGAATTGCAGTAATTGAAAACCTTGAAGATAATATTAATCTTGGAACTCTAGATTTGTCTATGAATAAAATTTCTAAAATTGAAAATATAACACATTTACAAAAATTAAAAGAATTTTGGGTAAGAACAAAAAGATCTTCAAAAATATAACATTAATTATTATAAATTAAATGTTAACTATGATTATTTGTTTAGATCAATGACAATCAAATCAATGATTGGAATAGTGTTCAAATTTTGGATCATTTGAAAAAACTAGAAACTATATACTTGGAACACAATCCATTAAGTAAGGACAGTGCTTACAGAAGGAAAATTAAATTAATTATGCCTTGGATTGCTCAAATTGATGCTACATTGGCTCGATAAATTATCCAAATTGTTTAAAAAGCTTATTTAAATTAATGAAACTCACTCATAGCATTATACAATGTTGTTAATATTATAGTTTTTTTTAGTGTTTATTATTAATTTGTATAGTGTATTTAAAAGCTCTTAATTAAATATGTATAATATATAATTGTGAATTGAAGTATTACTATGTAAGATCATAATAAAGCATATAACAATATATCATACTTAATTATATTTAATTATATTAAATAAAAATAAGATTTTCAAAATAAATATTAATCATTTAATTTAATTTTGACAACAGAATTTTCATCAATTGGATCAATAATTTGACCCATTTGAGTAACAACTGGGGGAGCAGTAAGTTTTTGGAAAACTGTCTCAGGTACCCATGTACGTCCTACAGGTACTTTGATTGTTTCTTCATATTCTTCAATACCCTTAAATGGATATGGCAATTCAGAAACCTATAAAACGCAATAAATACACATTATTAAACAAATAAATATAAAAGATAAAAAAATTTACAGTTTTTTTGATATTTATAACTATAAATGTTTCATACCCTTATTTTTAAATTTAAACTACAATTTTAGAGTCAGAGAAGAAAAATGAATGTATTGATTTTTAACAATGCTTTTTTTTTGTGTGTATTTTGGTACTTTGTGCAGCAGTGAAAAGGTTCAATTATCACCTTTGAGATTGGTTTTCAGTAGTAAAATTAACCTTTAGGGGTTAAAAGTAAAACATTCCCTGTACTTTTCATAATAATCAAGTAAAACAAAAAATTTATACAGCCACATTATTCATAAAGAAAGATTGAAGTTCAAATTTCATAAATTCACATGTAAAATTATGATTTCTTTTGAATATTTTTCATAAATATTAATTGTAGAACCTTGGAACATTCCACCTATCACTTCAAATATAAATTTTTATACAGAATGACATTTTCAAAATATTAAGTGTAATTTTAAGCTATTTACACCAAGAACTTATTCATAATGGTCTATCACGGGGATGGCAAATCCATGGCACATGTGCCTAAGGTGGCACGGGAAAAGATTTTGTGGGCCCTCGACAATTTTTACTATTATACATTAATAATATATAATATTATGGGATCTATAATAACCTAAACTAACCTTTTTATACTAATACATTAATTATACAATCAAATTATAGTATAACAAAATATAATATTTTTAATATTTTTTTCATGGCACGCTCTCAAAAAAAAAAAAAGTTATTACTAACTTGGGGCAAGCAGTGTTCAAAAGGTTTGCCATCCCTGGTCTATCTCAATGAATCTTAACCTTTACGTGTTTACCTAAGATATTATTTACCCAATTTTTTATGTAACCTTTTACAAAATAATATTCAATGAAAGGCTACCCACCCACCTCGGTTTCTTAATTTTTTTCAATTCCTCTGACATCATAATCATAACACTTAATTTATTTATTTTTACTCATAATACTTACAATATTAATAACATTTATTATTTAATTACATAATATAAACTTTAAAATTTTTGGTGACAAAATTATTCAAGAGGAATTGATTGAGAAACACTGGTCTAAGTTAATGACAGATAGTGATATTAAAATAAATGTGAATTTTTTTTAGCAAAAATGAATCCAATCTACCTTATTAATATAGAAAAAAAATTAGTAATACCAAAATAAATAAACAATCAAATATCTATAGAAATATAGGGTAGCAAACCAACAGCCCAGAATTTTTTTCATATGCTACATTTAATGCTCAATTCAAATTTTAATTTTTAACACATCCATTATTCAATGACAAGTACAATTGTCACATACTATACAGTAGAGTGAGTTTCCCTAATTTTTTTTATATTATTAATTTAACCTCGATTACTAATTAGTTATATGATACAAAGTTAAAGAAAATAAATCTTACCAAATGTGATTTAATAGAATCATCAGCATTCTCATGAATAATAACTTTTTCTCGATTGAAGTCTTTACGTGGTGGTTTCGCGGGAGTTCGGAACATCCCCATGTTAGTTCTTTTCTTAAATGCTCGTTTCCTGATGTTAGGGCCAGCCCAACTGCCCCAACCGGGAAGTGCTGTTTCTATTTTCGGCTTGGACTGCTCTTCCAGCTTTTTCTTTTCCTCCCTAAGTATAAAACCATTATATGAAAGATATGTTAATGTAATAAAACGATTAGATAGTTAATACTTGAACTCATTAATTATATCATCGTCAGCAAAAGCTTCTGCAATCAACTTTTCTTGTTCATTTTCTTCTTTATCATCTAAATGATCTTCTACCTGAGGCATTTCTTCAGTTTCTAAACTTATTTGAGTCACTTTTAAAAACTCTGTGGGGTCTATATTTTGTACTTGTTTTATGGGTTTTTCAACAACTTTAATAGCAGATCCTAGGTTGTTTTCAATATTGCTTATATTATTTGTATCTAATGTTCTATTATCTTCATATAAAGGTTCATTAAATTCAGCCTTCTTACGTTTACTATTCATTTTTAAGTAATCACTTTTTGTTTCTTGTTTTTGACGTTTAACTAAATCGGTTTTAGAAGGCTGTTTAACTTTAACTTTGTTGATATCAAGCAATTTCTCATTAATTTTATTTTTTAATTCTATTTCAACATTTTTAAATGCGTTTTCAACATCTTTGTGTACTTTTTTTTTGTTTAAATTATCATTAATATTATCTGACGACACAAACCAAGTTCCAGCAACTGTATTAATTACACCAATATTATTATTTTTCTGATCACACAAAACCTTAGAGTTGACTTGCATATTTGTATCGTTTTCATTAATTTCAGTTTCTGACTTAATAGTATCATTGGAAAAATGAACTTTCTTTTTTTTAGGAGTAACAATTTTTAAAACTTCAACAAAACTCTCCTCCTCGTCAAATGTAGAAAGATCATGAACTGTAATATTTTTAACCTTATTATTCTTCTTCTTTTTAATTTTATCAATAGTTTTTACCTCATTTACATTACTTTCTTCAGATTCTTTAGTTTCATGATTTTTGTCATTTAATTTATTGTTTATACATTGATCATTAATGTCTTTTGATTCACAATTATTTTGAACAAAATTATTATAACCGGCCATAAAATCTTTGAATTCTTTTCGTTCGGCAAGCCAAGGATTATCAGGATCAACCACTTGTTCAGGAATTTCAATTTGTTCTTCATCAGAACTATCAGAATTATTTGTTTCGTTTAAGGATGGTTGTACTTTTTGAGTTAACTCTTTACTTTTTCTTAACTGTTCTGCCAAAGCTATCCGGCTCTGTAGAAAAAAAATATAATTATGATGATTAATATGTATTTAGGGGAGTCTATATTTTATGGTAATTACATAAAATGCATTTATCAACTTGTTATTTGAGAAATATTTTGAAAACAGATTATAATTTGCCAAGAAATTCTTTAAATCATCATATTATATTTATTATTTACTTGACTCATATCCATGTCAGGTATGTTGAATATTGGATGTATCTCAATATGGGGTCTACCTCTGTTTTGTGTACTACCTTATTATAAATATAAGAATACAGTAAAGTATACAATTGTTTTAGGATTTTTAAAAGTTGAAAAACATTTTATATTTATATCTTTCAGTGTTAATGTTGTAAAATTAATGCTGCGATAAGTAACAACAGTGAGTTAATTCAGTATTCTTTTTAGTATATTATAATAAACATTTTAAATGATTGTAAAATAATTTTATATTATATTTTTAAATGAAAAATGTACAGTTAAACTACTCAGTTATTATTTATAAACAACAATTGAATAAAAATGTAAATGTTGTAAATTAATAAAACCATAACAATATTTTTATTTATAAATTGTATGTAAAATTGATTTAACAAAATTAGATCAATTTGTACAGACCAAACTTTTATTAGTATCATGGTTATGTTAAGTAGTATGACCATAGTTTATTAAATATACAGCAGTATAATAAAGACACAATACAAAGATAGTAAAATAATAAAGTGACCCTACAATTGAAACTTTACAGAAACTTTACAAAAGAGAATGAAATGAAATCTGTTTTAAAATTCCTTGGATTAAAAATTTAATAACATAAAATATCAAATATGTAGCAGTTTATCCGACAGTAGTTGTACATAGCTTGGAAACACACCTTTGATTTTTGTGGAATGATTATATTTTTATAATATGTTTAATATATGAGTCTTTTATACTTTAATATTCCAATAACAATTATCTTGTAATTTGCTAAGATTAATACAGTAGAGGAACTTTTTGGCAGCAGTATATTTTTGGAAACAAACAAACAATTATTAAAACTAATTTACTGCGAGATGTGGATGAAAATAGGGCACCTCCTAGTATATACACAATAATCATTTACTAAAAAATAAAAATGATACAAAATTGTGTATTATTAATTTTTAGAAAATATTATTTCAACTCTCCTTCAGGGCTTCAGATTCAAACTGTAAACGTTCATTACTTACATCTTTATCATATTTGGCCCGTACAACATGGTTACGAGCCCACTGTCCAGTAGATTTATGCCTTAAGCTAGCACGCTCTTCAGCTCTTGTCTTTTCAATAACATTTAGTTTTTCCAATGCTGCTACAGGATCTGTATCTTGTAATTTTTCAAATTCTTTGATTTGTTCTTTTGTCTTTTCCTTTCTTAATAATCGATGGTATTTTTTGCTTTTAATTTTATTTTGTCTGTGAGCTTTAGCATGTCTATATGATTCTTTAGCCCGGAAATTAGCCATACTTTTACGTTTTTCTAATAACTCTTTTAGTGTTAGTGGATACTTTTCTTTTTCTTTTTCTATCCAAGACATTTTCTAAAAATTAAAATTAAATAAATTTAGATGATTGATAATTAATTACTGTATTGAATTTAAATAAAATTATTACTAAATCTTTTTGCTTTTGTTGAATAATGTCACTAGATTGTAATACAGAGGAGATTTTTTTTTGTAAATCGGTAGGGTGGGATAAACCCCGGGTAAAATCAACCATACGATTATCAAAAACTTCAACTTCACTACTTCTTAAAGGGAATCTTAATTGATCAGCAGACTTATTTTGTTCAACAACAGCAGACCATCTGCTTATGTGTTTTTTGAAATTGTCATAAGCAACTGCTCTTTTTATCTGTAATAAAAACAAAATAATATATTTATTTAATTTATCAATTACTTCATTAGTTTAAAAATATAAAAGATTTGAATTTGGCAGGTTTACTGTATTGCCAATATTTTGTTTTTCGTTAAAATTAAGTTTAAAAAACAATAAGTCTTTTACACATTTTTATTTTGTTTGTCTCATGTGATCGATAACATATACATTTTAAATTAATTGATTCAGATGTGTAAGACTCCACTTTTAAATGGCATCTCCTTAAAAAATAAAAAAAACACTATCTACTAATCAATAATTACTATAAAAAAATAATAATTCATAGGAATTTCTGGGTATGGAGGAGGAGGCTAAGGAGAATAAGCCACATATTGTAGACAGTATTGAAACTGAGTCCATTAATTCTTAGTCACCTCACTGTACATCAGGCTGCATCACCTCTACCCATAGACCGTCACTACATATGTGTGTATTAACAACATATTCTAACACTGTATCAGATTACTAAAGTACAACATTGTAATTATTTGTTCTAGACTGAAGAGTTGCATGATTATGTTTTATATGTACAACACAGAGGCCAAGTAAGAGATATAAACCTGATAAATTTGCATAAATTGTATGTAAATTGGTTACAACTTCTAAGCAGAGTAGTTAACTGTTAATTTCAAAATTTGTAAGCAGTACGTTAAATTAAATTATTATTAAAGAGGGTAGGTATCCAATTCAATAATTTTAGATGGGTAAACATAATATTGATAAATAATAATATAAGGATAATTCCTTATACAAATATTACTTTTTCAGCATGAACTTTATCCAATGGTTTCTGCAATAGCTTTTTGGTCGATTTAGCAACTTGAATTTTTTGTCTTATTTGGGGTGCTTTTTTTTTAAGCGCATTTGTTAAATCATCAACATTTGTTGTTTGTTGTCCACTTGACAAATGAAATTCAGATACTTGTAAACTTGGTTCATTTCGAGTAGTTGGCTGGATTCTTAAATTACATTTTATAATAAGTAATTGTACTTTAATTTCATTTATTGATTGTTATAGATTATTTAAATTACATACTTTCGTTTGGTCTTAGATGTTATTGTCTGTAACAATTGTCTATGCTTCTCATATGAAACGTCATCCATGTCTTCATCAGCATCTTCGTTTTTGGCAAGTGAGCTAACCATATTGAAACCTAATGACAATTTAAAACTTAAATGTATAAAACTATGACGATCACAATACCTTAAATACCTTTTTATACACAAGACCTAATCTGTATTCTATGCACAAGACGATCTGTATTCTACTGCTCTGAAAATAGCGTCCCTTCAGTCTTCCACTCTACGTAAGACACACGTGATAATCAGCCAGAGTTTCCGTGATAGTATAATTTAAGATATCCTCTAACCACTAGATAATTATCAGTGAACCAGCTGTTCGAATAACCGAGGTACAAGTTGATACCGTGGTTGTACAGCTAATAAAATCATTTTAGGTTAGCTTAAGATGTTTTTGATAAATGACAATGCAAAAAGTAAACAAAATCAAATTTAAGAGTTACTTCAGTCTACACAAGTACAGAATTCTTTTATTTTTTTTCTAAAACAAACAAGTTTTTGATCAAATTATTCTTAGTATATTTTTCTTTAATTGATTCAATTGATCACTGGTAAGTGCTTTTTACAATATATTAATTTGTAGTTTAATTTAGGTCGTTAAGTAAAATATAAATTTAGAAAACATAATACTTATTATAAAGAATATGAACAGTTTGTAATACTTTTGGTTTGCTTTTTTATTTCATCTAATCAATATTATATACCTACTCCAGAAATCTTTTCTTTAGGGTATTTTATTATATTACCTACTAATTGTTAATATTGTGTTACATTTTTGTAAATGAAGTAATGACATATTAATATAAAATATTGGTAGTATCTATTATAATATTACCATTCATTTTAACATTCATAATTAGGCACTCTTTCTAAATAGTCAATTTAGTTAATTGTTTTAAAGAAATATTTTATTTTTAATTCTCACTTAAAAATTTTGTCAGCTTTTATAGTAAATTATTACTTAGATGTTTAGTATACATCTATTAAAATATATTTTGATAAAATAACCAGTGGTTTTATATTTTATACCTAATCATAGTGAACATTTGTCAACACCTCAACAGTTAGGAATTTGTAATAATCTTTAGGCTGGGCAAGTGTTATTGGAAAAATAGTTTCAAAATAAGTGTCAGAAATAAGAAAACTTAAAATTATCAACTGCTTAGCATATCAATATAAAATGTGTGATGAACCTACCAATTACTTATACAATGAAAATAGTGTTATTATTTTTAGATTTTGTTGAATATTTAATATATTATATCTTTATTAACTTAAGTTTAAGCATATAATAAAAAGTTAATTATTTTAGTTATAATTCAATATAAAAATTTTATTTTATCAATTTTATGTATTATTTACTGTAATTTATATTTAATGACAGATTGTAATTCACATACCTATCTCATCCTAATCATGGAATTATATAAACAAGGAGCAGAATCAAAAATATTCACTACAACTTTCTCAGATCGAAAAGCCATTGTCAAAGAACGATTTTCAAGACAATATAGAAACAAATTGTTGGATTTAAATATACGAAAAGAACGCACAAAAGCTGAAGCGAAAGCTATTTTGAAATGTAAACAAGGTGGAATTGCAACTCCTGTTATATATTCTTTGGATTTAAATGACTACAAAATAATAATGGAACATATAAATGGTCAAACAGTCAATGACTATCTAACTAATATGAAAGATAAACCAGATGATAATGGCAATTTGACCAAATTACTCATAAACATTGGATCTATTATAGGAAAAATGCATTCTCTTGGAGTATTTCACGGCGATTTAACGACTTCCAACATCATACAAAAAGACGATGGTACATTGGTGTTAATTGATTTTGGCCTTAGTCATTTTAATCCAAGTATTGAAGATAAGGCCGTAGATTTATATGTTTTAGAAAGAGCATTTATCAGTACACATTCTTATTTTTCACACTTACATCCAGTAATTATGGATGGTTATAAAAATGGTTACGAGTTGGATGTTAAAGCTGTTCTTAATCAATATCAAAATGTTCGAGGTCGAGGTCGTAAACGACTAATGATTGGCTAGTTTGTTTAAAACAACTTGTATATTTTGTTTAAAATAAAAATGATTTTATTGTACCTTATGTTTTGATTTTAGTATAATAATACTATCCTGTCCTAATTTAATGTAATTATTTATAATGATCATTTGTAGTAGATATTTTATAGTATGAGTGGAAAGTGGTTTTATTATTTTAGTAATTCATTATAGTTATAAAGAATGTATTATTTTTTTTACAGATCCAATATGGACATAGCTGAAGGTGTTACGCCAGCATATCTGAAATTGGCTCAGATAAAATTTTGCTTAACTCTCCCACAGTTTAAAGAAGATCCTGATTTAATTTCATCTTTATTAGCTGGTATAGTACAGAATAATATGGCCCCCTACTACAAAGAAGTATGCACAGATTTGTCATGGATATTTGACCAAACTCTTTATGATAAAATGGCTGCTAATAATGCTAAACGCATGGCAGAACTTGAACAAGAAAAAAATCCCACCATGGTAGATGATGATGACCCAGTATCTGGAATATGGCAAGCAAAGTTGCTTTATTTATGTTCCATTGGTGACCGCGAAGAAGCGACAAAACTGGCTGAATCTAAATTAGAAGAGAAAAATGTACCCAAGTCACAGCAAATTGATACTGTGTTTGCTCTATTTAGAGTTGCATATTTTCACGGATGTGATATACCGGCAATGAAAAAAGCAATAGACAAAGCCACAGAGTTAATTGAAGGAGGATCTGGTGGAGACTGGAGTGCCAGAAATAAACTTAAAGCATATGATGGTATTTGGAGTTTGGCTATACGGGATTTCAACCGAGCAGCCAAGCTGTTTGTAGACGTTGTGCCCACATTTGAATCCTATGAACTTGCAGATTTCAGTACTATCATCAAATACACCGTATACTCGTCAATGATAGCTTTTCCTAGATATGAGTTAAAAAAAACTCTCATGCATCACGGTGTTATGGCACAGGCTTTAAACTCAGATTCTAAGGAACTGAAAGATTACTTTGTCTCGTTATATGAAGGTCAATACTCTAAATTCCTTGTGTATTTAGCACGCATTGAAAAGAACATGAAACAAGATCCATTGTTACATCCTCACTATAAATATTATGTTCAAGAGATGAGGCTTTTAGCTTATAAGCAAATATTACAAGCATATAGATCATTAAGTTTGGATTACATGGCTGAATCGTTTGGTGTGACTAAAGCATTTGTGGAAAAAGAAGTAGCCAGGTTTGCAGCTGCTGGACGTTTAACTTGCAAGATTGATCATGTTGCTGGAGCTGTGGTGACCAGTAGTACATCCAAGAATAGTTTACAACTAGGAGCTCCTGAATCTAGACTGGAACGAGGTATATTATATCAGACAACTGTGAAAAAAGGCGATATATTGTTGAACAGGTTAAAGAAGTTGGCCAGAGTTATGGATTTCTAAAAACAAAATATTGTGAATTTTTTTTCAGATTGTGTTTAAAAATAAATAAAATTTTGAGTTAATGCATTATGCATTTGTATGTTTAATTACTTTAATTCTAATTTATCCAATATTATTATTATGTATTTTCACATTATCTAAAAATATTAGTAAGACTAACTCCTTGTAAATTATCTATTAAACAATTTTTCAATGTTTTTCTAATATTTTCATACATCATAGTATCATACTCGAATTGTAAATTTGGTTAAATGCTAGTTTAAACAATTATAATTATTACAAAAACAATTTGTAACTTTTAATGATTTCTCAATGTTTTACCCCTAAATGGTTATACCTAGGCCTGGATTAAGTCATTTTATGGCCCTAGACACTTCTCCAGAATATTTTGAAAATTGTGTGGGTCCTAGGCACAGTGCCTATGCGGCTATGCTGCGATACTGCTCAGGTTATGAAGGTATTTACTATTTAGTACTTACTATAGCCTATGTATGTGAATAATTTTATCAAGTATATATAATATAAACTTAAGTTAATACTGCAGCCATTTAAGATATAAAGGCACAATTTTTTTTGTGAGCAATTGCAGTTTTAATGAAAATGTATTCTTATAATAATAAATTAAATAAATTATTATTATAAAATTATTTAATTATTCTAGTTTTTTGTTGTACCTAACTTAAAAATATTTTTATTGGAAAGTTGAAACAATTAGCAAATATCACTATTATTATATAAAGAGTAAAAGACTTCCAAAAATCACCAAATATGCACTAAAATGCACAAAATATGCATTTTAAAATTAATAATGCATTAAAAAAATGAATTATTTTTTAATAAATAATAACATTATTTGTATAAATATATTTTATTTAAATGTTGATGTCGGCGACGGACGTCCCCGCGGCTCGTATCGGTAATATTTTATGCAGTAAACAAATAGTAACCTAACCTTGAATTTTTGAGGGAAGAAGCCACCCATTAGTGACACTACCTATTTTGAGGTTTTTATTTATTTATTATTTTTTTTCCTTGTCTATAAATAAAGTAAATAACCGGAAAATAAATCTAATCTGTTATCCTTGATATGTGTTTCTAGGAAAAACAATTTTGAACAATATTTTAAATCCAACATTATTTTGGTTGTATACTTGTATATTAAATATTGTAATGAATTAAGAATATTGAGAAAATGATAAATTATTTAAAATACGCATCTTAAAGTATGGAATTGAAAAGAAATATGTCCTAAAACCAAAAAAACTCGAAGTATACACATGAAGATCGCAGGAAGATCTTCTCTACATCGTGGTATGTAATATTTGTAATAATGCCGCAAAGGTCATAAGAATATTGTTGAACATTTCACTGAGATGGTATTCGTCAGTAAAAATTCAACTTGATTTGGACATGGGGTAGGTATGTTTTTTCTTATTTTTCAATAGGTTTCCTTTTAATATTGTTCGTTGATCAGGGTTTGTATTGTGGTGAGCAACTTTTCAATTTAATTGTATTGTAACTACTGGTACAACACTATATCAGCTATCAACAAAATCATGATAAAAATTAGGAAATTTGTCAGGTATGATATTTTTTTAAAGTAATATTTAAATATTTTCACTGATTATCAGGTACGATGACCTGTAGGTTGTAGGTACTAGTGATAATAGGAAGTCTGGAAGTGTATGAGATGGTGTCATGGTGAAGATAAGAAGTGTGAGTGTGGCAGGTATGTGAATGTTGAGTTGGGTGTGTAAGAGGGACAAAGGAGGAGAGAGTTAGAAATTAATTGCTTGTGGAGGGTGAATAGGAAGTGTGAAGAGTGAATTGTTAAGTTAACAATGCCGAATACTTATGAAAGGATCTTGAATTTCAAAGGTCACTCTGACTGAAACTACCAAGACACCAAGTTGAGGACGATTGTAAACTCTCCCGATGGTAAACTCTCCCGGGTCTACTCCAGTACTACCTGACGAAAACGTGTAAACTCTCCCGGGTCTAGTAAAAATCATAAAATAAATTTAATATACATTTAAGTTGCTATTAAAAATAGTCAATCACAATCTCTGCAGTGTAGCCAACTCGTAGTGTAGCAATAACATTTTAAACAACTCGGGAGAGCTTACATACTTCCTACAGGTAACTATAAAGTTGACCCGGGAGAGTTTACACATTTACTTCAGGTAAACATAATTTTGACCCGGGAGAGTTTACACATTTACTTCAGGTAAACATAATATTAACCCGGGAGAGTTTACCATCGGGAGAGTTTACTATTTTGAAAAATCGGGAGAGTTTACCACCGCCCCAAGTTGATAGGTTTACAACCTTGGACTTACATAGGATAGAATAAAAAGGTCGATTAGGATGTCGGAGCTCTATTTGTTTTCCTTCTTTGACCCACGCGTAACTTACGATAAGTATTAAAAACTAATGTGTTTAAGTTTTCTTTTTGGCTATATATTATATATATCTGCTAATCATACATTTGCTTTGTTGTAACAAATAAATAGTAAAAAAATCTGGCATCCTCTTGAGTGTCATCAAGTTGAAAAATCTGTAGATTGTTGGCAGTTAGCATTAACTGTGAATAAAATATTAAATATGAAAGTATTGTTGAAAGTTAAAGTAATAAGAGTAGTAATTAGGTACTAACTATGGAGATAAGACGTTGAAAAGCGTTGATATGACTTGAAAAGCGCACCAAAAAATTTCACGTTTATAAACTTGGATAATATTTCAAGTTACATAAGTATTGTAATATTATTATCTAAATATAAAAAAAACCATACTTGAAATTGATGGTTAAAAGCCGACGCATACTCTTTCACTTACCTATTTAATACATTATATTAAGAGTTATCTATATAATATGATAACTTATAAATAATTTGTCTCTGGCGTAGCTGAAACACTCGTGTGTAAATCCCTACAATAGTACAATGTACCAATAAGAAAAATAACATATTTATTTTGAATAAAAATTGGTAGGAGTCTGGTGTGCTGCGATCCATCATCGTCCGGCGTCGCCAGCTCCTGCAGGATGGGTGACCACCTGGGTTTTTTATAGCGATGAATCCTGGACCATTGACACGCATGTTACTCAAACTTAATAGTAATCCCAACCCCCACAACCAAATGCCAATGGCCATAGTTGTCGATGCTTTAGACCAATAAAAAAAAAAAAATACATTTTACATTGTTTAAGAATTTTAGTTTATGGTAATAATTGACAATAAGTATGTATGTTGACGTATTATGCTATTGTGCTAGGTACTATAGAAATCAATTATTAAAATTATTTTGATGTGGTGTCGGTTGTTGGTGGCGGAAGAAGGAGAATTTACCCTCTGGGTTATGTTTAGTAGTAGAAGTAAAATGTAAAATTATTATAATACGTTATAAAGTTGGTCCAAATCTCAAAATCGTCCAATATTTGTGCACAAAATGTAAGTGTTCAAGTGGGAAAAATGTTAAATGTTCGTACATCAGTTTTCATTAAGCTTCGTTACTTTTAAATAATCACTCTAGTATCAAAACTTGGTAACAATGCTAAATTACTAATTTAGATCTGCTGAAATTGACATACACTTGTAATACGGAGGCTACATACTGATAAATCATTTTAATGCTTATTACTTTTAAAATTTATATTCAATCATGTTTTGAAGTTTTGATTTCTGTTTGTGGGTCCTCCTTACATCATATAGTATGAATTATGAATGTATATCCATGTCCCGATAACTTGAAAAACACATTAACGGCTTAATATAAGATGTCGATAATGTGATAGTAATAGAAACTAATAGAGATCATCTTTTTATTCAAAATGTCCTAGTTAACCCTCCGTTAGTTACGCGTTACCCCAATACTAGTTATTGTTCTACCATCATTCAGATTGATGTAAACCCAGTTGCGTAGCCAGCCATCTTGGTGTGTTTTGGGTGTTTGAACCCTGCACCCTCTCCCATTTTATGATCATGGCTACGCTACTGTTTTCCTTGTGAAACTAACAGAGGGTTATACAAGTCATACGAAGGTTAGTCAACCCATGGGCTATAGTTAGTTGAAGCTATAGTGATGGTAGTAAACTATTATCACTGGTCAAGAGCTTTACAATGATCTTTTCCTACTAACTACCAAGGTATTCGATATTGCGTAGACATAACAATGCAGGAAAATATTTGAATATTACCAAGGGAAATTAGAACCTAATTAACTATCATAATTTTTAAGCACAGTTTTATAAGCCTGCCGAATATCGTTGTACCAGCATAATAATTAATCTTACAGCCTACAGTGTTTTTATAAATGTGTCAAAATTTATAATTCATTTTAATTAGAAAATGTGTGAAATCATTAGTTTCAATTAAAAATATTGTTTTGTGTTTTAAAAATCTACTGTAGTCTTAGAATCCTCAATAGGTTTCCTTCTCACTTCTTTTCTTATTGTACTAAGTCTAAATGTTCTTATCTAATTTTTATAATTTCTATAATAATCTAATGTTTACAAGGACCAAAACAGAGGTATTATTATTATTATTTTTGTATTTAAACTTTTTGGTTTGTGATTCAAAATTGACTGTAATACCAGCTTAAGACACAATACAATTTTAAACTAAAAATTTTTTATTTTCTTCATAAAACAAGATCCCGAACAACTCTTCCAATTTAATTTTTTGCACCCATAATAAACTTCATACATTTTTAAAATACATTTTTTAATGCTTTGAAGCAATGTGGACCTCTGATCATATTTTTTTCATTTACTTCCATTAATATCCTTTATAAGTTGCCATATTAATATACATTTTTTAAGCTTATAAACCAGCTACTTTAAGGAGAAATTAGATTAATCATTTGTTACCTAATAAACTATAATTATGAATAGATGTTCAGGTTGATTAACCTGGAGATTGTAGACTGCAGTCTTTAGAATATGATCCTATACTTTATAATTTTCTCTAAATTTTTTTTTTGCTTCTTCAAATGCATTTGCTTACAGGTATCCGTGTTCCATTTTTTTTTATTATTTTAATTAGTTGAATTATTTGTATACAATTTTTAAAATATTTTTTTATTGCGTCTTGAAATGCCTTTGTCTGCGTTTGCCTGTGTTCCGCTTTCAATTTTTATTTATTTAACTCAATTGATTTTTAATATAAATATTTTTGGCTTTCTCGAGGAGTCCTGCTCTGAATAATCGTTATTTAATAAGCTAAATTGATTATGGTGACTTGTGAGTAATTCTTCGAGTGTTAATAATTTAAACGTCATTATATTTTAACTACAACATAATGTAATGATACGATAAACGTCGTACTTTTCACATTTTCAGTTCCTTGAAATATTGAAATACCAAATTATACGAAATAAAAACTTGATCAAATTCAAAAAAAGTAATTTTAAAATATTTGTAGGTATTTCAGTATTTGACATTTTCAAAGCAATAAAACACTACTTTTACCTCCAAGATTAAGTGTTTATAAACGTACCGAAATAAAGTGTTTGTTTTCCTCATTAATTAAGATTTTATTGGACGACAATATTATTTATTTATTGACGTAAGTCGAGTAATGTGGTACCTATATAACTACTCGATATAATACAATAATTGAAAGAATAACAACAATTTTCAATTATATAAAAAGACAATACTGCCAAGCACTGATAGTGTAAAATGTTTTTTTCGTGTTTTTAATGATAGACAATTCAATTAATGTGTTATACTGACATTTATAGGTAGTTACATCGGTGAAAATAAATAAGTATGCTTGGTATTGATTTTTCAGGTTTTGTTTAAATGTATGGACATAGGTGTTAATTACACACAGGGTGTTCATAAACAACAAAATAGCAAACCAAAGACTTGATTATCATTATGTAATAACAATTAATTATATAATCATAATAAATAAATAATAATACAACTAACATTGCATAATAAATGTATTTCAACACAGTTATAATTATTATATTTATGTATATGTATAGTATGTATATTATGTATGCCTACATATTTCATAATGATAATAATGTTATTATAAAGCTTAGCAACAATAACAACTACCGGTGTAAAAAGCTTAAAAACTACGAAAAAAAAATTATATTTATAATAAACATATAACGAAAGATCTACATTATTATATAAACCGTATTTATAAATATTTAAAAATATCCATGTATAAATCTTTGTGTATTTATATTTTATGTATAATTTGCACTTAGTTAGTGCTTAGCCACTGAGCGTTGTCGTTTAAAAAGCTTCTACGTATAAAGTGTTCTAGATTAAATCAAATGAATCAAGTAAAAACTGAATTTCAGTCTCTTGAATAACATGTTCCCCACTATATTATTTCGTTTCAACAAAATCATAGAATATAAAAAAAAAAAACGTGAAAAAGATGGCTTCTCACCCGTGGCTAAAATAAACATTTGAATAATTTAAATGTGTTCGCACAACAAAATTTCGTTAACAATTGAAAATAATAATAATAAATACTTTGGCATTAAATGAAGTGAAATCACAATCATTTTGTTAAAAAAAAAAACAAAAACAAAATTACAAAAAAAAATTGACAACGGTTTCGCTATATAGCCGTTGACAAAATGTACCAATGCCATCTCCAGTCCGACCTCACTTTCGGTGAAAATAAAAAAATATTGTAAAAACGAACAAAACATTTTATTCTTGGCCCTCGCTTATATTGTCATTGTAGGAACGCGTTCCATAAAATAAGTACAATGAAGAGCCTTTTCGTTAAGTGTAATTTTGTAATACTGATATGTGGGCGGAATCGAGGGGCAAGATATTTAATATTATATAATATATATTATACAATACAAGGATATTTGGCTCTTTCGGGCGACTAAAGGAACTAACGACAATTCATGCAAGATTAATGTATTACACGTATAAATAGAAGTAATAATAGAAGTTAATGACTAGATTTTTTTTTTTTTAAATGTATGTTTTCAAATAGCGTACTCATGTATATCAATTTAGCCAATCGTTTATGCGTGGGTGGTTCATTCGTTTAGTCTTTATTTGGGAGACGGTAGGTTTTCGTTGACGGATATGGATAGTCGCCGAATGTTTGGTCGATCGTAGTCTTCCATGCTCATACCGCGAGACAAACTGCGCCTCGGACGCTCGCCATCCGATGAACTGCCTGAGAATGTGCGCTGTCTCTCGATACCTGGCAATGTGACCGATGTAAGTAGGCCTTGCCCCTTGCAGAATAACAGGATGCTTTGTGCCATTTTTGCCGGCTACGGAAAATAAATTGATCGTGATTTAAATAGTTAATATATGTTAAATAAATGGACGGGCTATGGCGATCACGACATATTTTTTATATTATTGTAAGATGAATTATTGTGCAACTATAAAGTGTCAATTATGAATTAGGTTTATTTTTATATAAACTTACATATTTTGGTTGTTAAAGTTAATTTTAAAATAATTTGAAACAATAAAATCTGATGAACGTAAACGTACCTACATTTAATTATAGCCATTAAGAAGACGCCACATCCCCCCCCCCCCATGTGTTGTTTCTGTCTTCAAGCATACACAACATAACAAATATGTGTTCAGTAGGCCCAATTTTGTGTAGTAACCTTTAATAATAGAAGGGATATACCTATTAATTATTATCAAACAAAGGTAAGAACATTATCTGTAATTTTTCAAGGGGTTTTCACGAAATTTTAATTTTTAAACAAGTCAAGGTTCTGTAAAATTAACCGTTTAAAAATTCTCATAGTTTGCATAAATTAAATTTTAAAATATCGTAAAAAAATCACGAGAAACTACAGATAATGATCTTGCCTTTAAGTTTGGTGATAATATGTCAATATTCTCTTTGTTTCTTAAGCTTATTACTCAACAATGGAATTCCTAAACACATAGTATGTACAAATTATAGTAGTATGTTTGTAAGACGGAGACCACACATGTGGGTGACATAAATGCGCTGTTTTAGCTTTTACTCGTTGGAGATTTCGGAATGTTAATATTATCAATTAAATTAGATATATCTTACTGCTTCTGCTAAAACATCTCCAGCCCTTTCAATTTTCAATAATGTGGCCTTGTGTTTGTTCAAATCACGATGTAACTTCTCGACAACATTAGCATAAGAGCCCAAAACTCCAGTTACCAATAATATGTCTTGTTTGTAGTCTTTAAGCATAAGATCTTTTCGGCTATAACATTTTTTAAAAGAGCATAGTTAAATTATTTATATTAACTATCGAAACAATAACAAATAGCATACAATGTATCATACGTACTTAAGAAATGCGTTTACGTATTGTTTGAGATTTTTTGAGTTTATAGTGCCTTGAAGACGTTTTACAAACTCATTGATGACCAACTCTTTGTCCGGGTTTGTTTCATTCATAAGTTGCTATAAGTAAAGCAAATACTAGATCAAGAACTGGATAATTATGCTACAGGTAGTATTATTGACTTACATGTCCAAATTTATGAAAAATTAAATAATCCATCGCTGATTGGCTCACAGTTGATTTGCCTTTCCAGTTTACAAACTAAAATAATAGCATATCGTGTAACATGTATAAATATATTTCATTTGCGGATCATTTATGATTTAGATATAACCACAGTATACTATTCTACACACACTCACTTTTGATTTGAAATTTTCCTTCACCGATGTAGCCGATCCAGTACAATTTATGAGTATCAATCCTAATACTCGCGAAGGATGTGCCAAACCAAATCTTGCTACTGCATTGGCACCAGCTCCTTCTCCTAATCCAATAACATAACGAATGTGCAAAGTATCCAAAACAGCCACTAAATCTTCTCCTAGCACTTGCAATGATGGAAACTGAAAACTTTAAACCAAACAAAAGTAGCAATAAAAGCTAAGTAAAAAAATATTCCTACTGAAGTACTAACAATTCATAAATATTCTACAACTGACAAAGGATTATTATAGTAATACTTACGAGTCGGGTAGAGTATCAGCGTTATCCTCGTGGCCAGGCACGTCAATATGAATAAATATTGATCGGTCTTTAATTTCACTCATACATGGCTGGTTGACAAAGTTCTCAAACGATATGTCTTTAATCGAACATTAATTAAAAACAATTATTTTATTTAATGAATTGATAATCAAACTATTTGATTAAACTTACGATTGCATCCCAGGTCATGAACAGTAAGAAATATTGCTCTCTTGTCCTGCTGGGTAAGATCTCCCTAAATAAGACGAATACTATCATTAGATAAAAATATTCCAAATAAGAAATAATTTCATTAAATCAAATCAAAACAGTTCTTGGTATAATATTACAAACGTTATAAATAGTGTTTGATTTAATTATTAAGATAATAAGTTATTTTTAAATATTTCATAAATTATTTTAATTCAGTCACACACAGATGGTAAAAATAAAATAATATTTATGCAATATAGGTACATTTCATACATTTTTTATCACTATAAAAATTATTATATTAAGTTATATTATTAACATTTAAATATTTTTGTTAATATTTATCAACATTTTTTGTTTTTAATTTTATGTCTAACATATCTATATACAATTTTATTAAAATATATTAAGCATTTTTTGTATTAATCTATTACCATTTCAAATGTAAGTATGTTATGATGTTTGATGAATTATCAATTTATAAATTACTATATTTCAATTTAAAAGCAAATTTTAAGATATATTTTTATACAAAGACAATTTAATATTCTACAAATAAATATAGTTTAATGAAGTCAACACAAAGAAGTCACGGATATAGTGATACTAAATAGTTACTACAGGTTACCAATATACATAAATACAGAATATTTTTATCCATCAACACAATATTTCTAAGTTTTAACTTACCTAGCTATGTATTAAAATATAATGTATGTTGAAAAAGCGATTTTCAGTTTATACTTATAATCCACTCGTGAAAACAAATTTAAGTTAAAGATTTTATAATTATAGTACTGTTATAAAAAAAACTTTAAAAATAAAATGTAATTAACAAGGATGGTTTTTTTTTATACAATTTAAATGCACATAAATAAGTCAAACTTTGGAAATTTGAAAATTTTATTTACAATGTTTTCATCAATACAACTTGTGGAATTAAAAATAAATTTTTTTTTAATGTTTATAATTTACTTATTATGTACTTATAATTTTTAATTCAACAAATATATAGAGTATATATTGAGCGATCGAAATCGCGTGACTTAAAATGCATTGCGAAGAGGGCTATCATAAAATATTTTATTTACACTTGTAATTTTTCTTTGATGCATAAAAATAAAATAAAATAATTTAAATACCTACAAATACAATGAATAGGCACTTCAACATTTAAATTATAAAAAACTTTAATATTAAAACTTTTTCTGGCTCGTTTTTAGACATTATACAAAAAGGACGGTATTATTATAAACAAGCATAATTATTTTATATTTTTGTGAGAAATATATTGATTTGTTAATTTTTTATTATTAACTTAATTTAAATGTGAAATCATATTAAAAATAATATTATTAGGTGTTGTATGATTTTTTTTAAACACACTGTTAAACACTTTTTCTATTAAGAAATACATTAGCTTGATTAAAAACAATCGTCTAACATTTTATGATAGGTGTCTATTTAAATTAAAATAGAAAATCTAAATTATTATTATATTTAAATTATTGATTATTACCTGGACGTGAACGTAGACATTGCCACTTCTCTCTGTCTTGACGAGGAATTTCTTAAAAAGACAAAACAATATGTAAATTAATATAAATATTTTGCAGTATTAAAAAATTCTTTTGTGAAAATAATATAGAATATTGATAAAGGATTCTAATTGTTTTCACGAATCTATTAATATTAAATAATACTACAGTCCTTATAAAATATTAATTAAATTTTAAAAGTATTCTATATGTTTGAAATTATGAAAATATTCTAAACTTAAATGAAGCCGGTGATTGTTATAAAGGTACATGGGTAAACCACATAATCTGTTACTTATGTTGGTACATATATCATAGGAGTAAATCGGTGGGAAGGAGGATAAGGGGGCTCAGCCTCATAAAATAAACAGTTTTTTAAATGTGTGAGATTGTAGCCCCCCAACTCACATTGATATTAAATATGTTAGCCCCTCCCCCCACGAAATTTTAATGGATGTGCGCATATGTATATATCAATATTATTATTATATGCTCAATGTTTTACTATAGAGAAGGCTAGTCTGAAACACCCTGAGCATACTTAGATTTTATAGGTATCTATTTATTTTAGGAATTTTATGTAATTTATTGTAGATCTGAATCCAGAATTACAGATGGTATGTTCCATAGGTAGGTAACATTTCACCTATGCCTATATAGTGAACTAATGAAGAAATATATGTGATGAATATAGTGAATTAATAATTTTTAAGTTAGGTCATTATTATATTAAGTAGTATTTAGTACTAGTATAAATTTAGTTTAACATTTATACTAGTTAGCTTAATTACGCAGATTATATTAATAAAATAACTATATCTAGTTATTTATTTAATACTTATAAAGATTCAGCACATAGGTATAGAATAATATTATTATTTATAGTTACATTCATTTTTTTAGAAATTTTGATCAATGTGTGTGATATTTTTTAACTAACAACAACCAGAATTATGTTTATACTTTGATGACATATTGCGTATTTTTTTTCGTGTTATCAACTTAAATTGTCGATACAAATAAGTAAGGAGAAATATGTTCTAAATTAAAAAGTTTAAAAATAAAGCTTGATAATAATATATTAGTTTATTACCCAATTAAATTCAATATTAATAATAATGATAATATAATGTATATACTATGTAGCTTATGGTATCATACTTAAGAAAAACAAATGATAAATATTTGCTGTTATATGAAACAAAACATATGTGAAATTAATATCAGAGATCTCGCACAAATCGTGAAATTTTGAAATTTTGAAAAAGCTTCTATTAAGCAGGGCAGATTTTCTCTAATATAATTACAATAAAATAACCACGTACATTGAAAAACTGTACTTAAAAAAGCAATACAAAAACACAAAAAATGTGCTGCTTTTTATTAATGCCTCTAAAATTCTAACATATTGTCTTAATATAACAATTAGAAAAAAAAATGTTTTTAAACTAAATACTGTAAGTATTGCTTATATAGTGATTATTTTATGATGGATGATATTTAAAAAATTGTAGCATACTACTCGATATTTTTCCTCTGCAAGAAAAATTGAGATATCATATAGAAGGTATATTTTTGGGGTGTATGATTATAAATAGGTGTGAAAATAAAATAAAACAAAACTTTTTACACAAAATTGGTCAGCAAAATAAAGTTATATCCAGCCCAAAAACATATATTATATGTTAAAAAATGTAAAAATGTAAAAATATGTATTTATAGGTGAGTAATAAATTACATTATAAATTGTTGTTATAATATTAAAATTGTATTCCTAGATATATACTTTTAAAAGTGATGTATATAATAACTAGCATCGACCAAAATAGTATACTTATTACTAGATCAAATGCATCGGTGAGTATTTAAAATTGACAACGTTTACACATTTACCACCTTTGTCATTATTTATAATTTAAACATCCTTTTTGTTGAAAATGTTAAAAGTATGAAAAGTGAAATACTGTAGAGCGTGAGAAATAACACATAGCTTCATGACACGAAAATCAACAAACTGATAACTGAATTACTAAAATGAAAGTATGAAACAATATACTATATCCTTAACGATCCTTAACCCATTGCAATATCCTTTATACTTCCATATCACGTCAAATTATTTATAGGGAAAGGTTTTTATCGATCGGTATGACTGTATCGATATTCTACACTTGAACATATAAACTAGTGTGATCACAAGACCAATGGTAAATTAAAGACACGGATAAAGCAGTCAAATCATGAGAAGTGCATTTCTAAATTTATTAAAATTAATGTTTCAACACATAAATAAATATGCGTGGTTTCATCAGATTAAAAAAAAAATGAGTGGTTTTTGTTCCCAACATTATATTAATATAAAAAATCTTTTTTAGGTTATTCTATTGCATTCCATTTGATGTCTTATTTCTTTCCAGATCAAAGTTTACAGTTAACAATACATCCATGAATACCTAAAATTTAAAACATCTTATTTACTTTATTTAATATTATGTTGTTCAATAATATTCTGTAAATATAATTTTAGTTTGGATTCCTGATTTGTAAGGTTTTGTAAAAAAATGTTGTAAGTATACATTCAATAATAGTATAGCAGTTTCAATAAATTTAATGCCAGTAGTTCATTAAAACTAGACACCACACCGCGAGGTAAAAAATAAAGTATACAATTTTAAGAATATTTATTATTATAAATTATAATATACCAATCAAATTATTGACGAAGAACAGATAGGTACAATTTTAATACGTGCATTGAAATAAAACCGTTTATTGAAAATAAACTGTGAAAATACAATTTTAATCAAATCTCTGTATAAATCTTATATAAATCCTACATAAACAATTTAAGTAAGTAAAATTGAGTACAGAATACATATTATTAAACATTTTGGTTTGCTTACAAAATTGTGAAACATTTTCGAATTATTCATCCAGTTGAATAATATATAATATAATGATTCATACGAGTATAAAAACTAAAGAATTGTATTCACTAAATACTACAAAACACTTTTAATTGCTTTTACTTTACACATATTTTAATTGTTGTAACATTTTTTTCAAAATTTAAACACTAAACAGTTGTGGCCAAGGTTTTTTATATTTTATAATATAATTGGAATATTTTAATAATCGTAATCAATATTTCATGTCTTAGTATCGAAAATTATAAATTTTCTAAGACGTACATTGTGAAATATAAAATATCATATTGTATAGTAAATCGTAAACTTGAACATTTTCATAAAAAAATATTTTCAATTAATTAGTGCATAATATAGGTACTCAGATTTTTCTCGAAATTGTATTTACAAATCATATAAAGTAAAACTAAGGGGCCAAAAATAAATTTGTTGACATTGTAAGTACAATAAATTCATAAAAAATATTTTGAAAATTAAATACCATAGAACTAATTTAACCATATAATTATACAATTCTAGTTAATCTTAAGAAAAAATTTAATAGTTGTTTAAGGGAAGGTCATCTCGATTTTCTAAAAAATAGTTATGGGACATTCTAAAACAAATTTGGTAAAAAGGTTCCATAGTATGTATATATATAAATATTTATAATATATATATATATATTTTATATTGTCGTCCATTATTAAATCAATATGCAGTATGCAATAGAAACATCTGATAAAAAAAAAAAACAAATGGATACAAGTTAAAAGTATGAAAAAAAATTATGAAAATTATATGGAAAGTAAATAATTAAGATTTATTTAGGTTTGAAAATTCCCATGAAGAATAATTTGAAAAAAGTTATTACGTTTAAATTAATTTACTCATACACACATCCTGTATAATATAATATTTTTAAATAATGTTAGTTTTAATAATAAAAATGTATAGAATGAACTTTATATTTAAATGTCAAGCGTTAATAGATTTTCCAATCGGAGTTACAAATATTATTAAAAAATCTAAATTAAAATATTTATATCAATTATTGTGACTTGTAAAATACATTTCATTTTGATTCAGAGTATAAATGCTCTTACAAAATAATTTAAAAGTATCAACTTTTGTAATTTTTGAAATACGGTATTAGCATGACGTATGATAAAGTTTATGTTAGAAAATTAAATTCTGATAATTAACAAAAGTTTCTACAATTTAAGTAAATATATTAAACATCTTATTTCGTCTAATCGAAGTATAATTATCGAAATGTTTTTTATTTAATAACTACTTTTGGATTAAAATTAAATAATTTAAATAGTTTATGGTTAAAATAGGTTTACAGTAGATGATGGAAGTCTTTTTTTAATAACTACCAGACAATCATCATTTTTAAATAATTGTATTAAACCCTACTAAAAAAAAAAAAAATATCATTGTAAAAGTAGGTAAAAATGCTTATAACTTCACTCCAACTATAAAAAAATACATTTAATGCAACCTTACACACGCTGTAAAATATACTAGTATGAAGTTTTACTATCAGAAAATTCTAAAACTGATTGTTATAAATATCGCACTAAACACAAAAGTGGGTATTTTTAAATTAAAATTTACACAGGTAATATGAAATTTTTAAGTTTAATAAAAAAACCTATATTATGGATCATCTTTAAAGTTTAAATAGTAATAGTTTTGACTCGTGGCTAAGAAATTAAAAAAACATTTTGAAAACGATCATTTTTGGCTCTTTTAGTGTTTCACGAGGTCATAATGTAATAATTTATAATACTATGAAATATTCATAAGTGTGCCTAAATATTGTAAAATAAAATATATAATGATGGTGTGTACTGCGGAGTGTGTTCGCGCGTGTATACGTGAAGTGTGTATTGTAAACACCGATGCCCCTAAATTGCCTATAGTTTGCGCCGTTCAATAGGGTCTTCTCTTTGTGATGGGGCTCGTAATAACATCGAATGTAAAAATAATTAAAAAGTAATGACTATAGACTAATAACACACGACTACGATGTTCATATTTTATTATAATTTTAAATTATACGTAATGTAATCACTCGCAATTCTAAAATGATAGGCACACCATTCGGCATTCGTACA